GCAGATGCAAGGAAAATGAGCATCCACGTGGTGGAATCAACGAGTGAGCTGTCCGCTTTAATGAAAGGTGATTATTTTTTTATTATTTTCTTCGAGTTTGAATTTTTCAAGTTCTATGTTACAAACTACACTTTGAACATCAGTCCGAATCATGCTTCGAACTGCTTTTCGAATCATGCTTCGAATTGCTTTTCCAATCATGTTTTGAACTGCTTTTCGAAACACACTTCGAACTGCTTTTCGAATCATGTTTCGAACTGCTTTTCGAAACACATTTCAAATTCCACTTCGGGGTACACTTCGAATTCCACTTCAAGTGACACTTCAATTTCCACTTCGAGTTACACTTCGAACTACTTTTCAATTAAAAGTTTTATTCAAATCGATTATGATAAAACAAGTGACAATACTACCTTATCTAGATAGTAATGCACAATAATCTATATAGTAATTTAAACACTAATACATAATGATCTCAATAGTAATGTACCATACTCCAAATAGTAATGCATAATAATCTGAATAGTTGAGCATAGCACAATTTTGACACTAACCCACAAAAAGCATCGGAAGATTTTTAAAAAATCGGTAAAGTTACATTAACAATAATGTAGAATAGTATGAACAGTAATGAATAGATCTAGTAATGCATAATAATCCGAATTGTAATGCATAATAATCTGAATAGTAGAGCATATCACAAGTTTGACACTAACCCAATAAGAAGCATAGGAAGATTTTTAAAAAATCGGTAAAGTTACATTAACAGTAATGTACAATAGTCTGAACAGTAATGCATAATAATCCGAATAGTAATGCATACTGATCCGAACAGCACCCATAAAAATCTAAATACTAGCCAAAAAAATATACACCAAAGCAAAATTTTGAAAAGTTGTTCCTAAATCTACTATCAAGAATATCTGGACTATATCAACTATTTGCCTCACAGTTTTTCTAACAATATCAAATTGAGACAAAAAACAAATCAAAAGTGTTGCGAAGCAACATTTTTTATTCGTTTTTTGTCTCAATTTGACATCCTTAAAAAACTTTCTTAATCCAAATACTAACGCACAGAAATCAAAATAGTAACTAGCAACCCAAAAAATATACCAAACCAAAGAAATCAAAATAGAAAAAATACCAAGCCAAAGAAATCAAAATAGTAAAAAATACCAAACCAAAAAAATCAATATAGTAAAAAATACCAAACCAAAGAATTCAAAATGTTCCTAAATCTGATACGGGACCATATTCATCATCAGTTTGTTTCACTCGATCATGCTTTTATTATTTGCAAAAATAAACATCAGCTGTTTGCTCTTTCGTTTATTACACAATTCGCCAGAACAGTGAAACAACAATATACCGGATTTTAATCATTAAGTGCGAAGATAAACAATTGACTGTTTGCAAAAACACCTGCAAAACAAGTATCTGAAGCTAATCGATTAGTTGATGCACCATTAAATATGAATTGAAGATCCACTGGTTTGTGATGATCAGATATTATTGATCAAGAAGCTTCCTACAACACCAGACACGACCAGGAATTACTCCTCTTCCTCTACTTCCTCTGTAGGATACTAGACATGATCCTTGAGATTATTCGCATAACAGTTCGGAAATTCGAACAAGATTTAGTTTCTTGAATGAAAGTAGCAATAATTGGTAGTGGAAGTAATTAATAGTAGTGACAATTAATAGTAGTGCCAATTAACAGTAGTGCTAATTAATAATAGTACCAATTAACAGTAGTGAAAATTAAGAGTAGTACCAAATTAGTAGAACCACCAGTTGAAAGAAGAAACAAACTGGTTGTTTATTTTCTACTATCAATTAATATTACAAGCAATGAATGAACAGAAATTAATAGTGGAGCCAAATTAATACTAGAAGTGGTTTTGCACAAAATTTTCCATAACTTCTATTAAGCTATTCGATTGTTCACCACACTCCGCAAGGAACTTCTAAAATCCACATCTATCTCCTCCTTCTGGCTCAATTCATCCGAAATTATGAAACTATTTCTAAAGTACATAAAAATCCGGAAAATAATTTCGGCACTTTACTTTCTTTTGCATAAGGATTCAGACAATTTTGAATCATCATACATTGGAAAAGAAGGAATAAAGTAAAACTTTTACTACTTTCGTAATAAAAGCTAAACTGCGAGGAATTTCCGCGTAATTTTTACTATTTCCTGATGAGTTTAATTTCGGATTCCGAGGTAATTTTTCGTGGAGAAATTAGTAAAATACATTTCGAATGTTACTAGAAAAAATTTTAACGAAAAGTTACAAGATCATTATTACAAATATCGTAAAATAATAGCAATCTCAGCAAAGTGATATATATTTTTTTTCCTTTAAATCTCTCGACAGGCGAAATTAGTCGTTTTTAACTTGAGGGCTAATACGGTAAAAGAGCGCGATTGCGTTTAACGGTGTCTGCGTGTAAAAGCGAGGCGATTGATAGTTGTGGGAGAGACAGGAGGTGGAATGATAATTATTGTTATGATAGGCGCCAGCCGGTCGAGAAAAAGAGAGAAGTCAAATCGTGCCGCGCACTAAAGGGAGATAGTGTGGATGAGAGAGAGAGAGAGAGAGCGCGCGCGGAATATAGAGAGACAGATAGAAACGAGTTGGCGGAGAGGCTGTGTGTGCAAGGACCGGGAGCGAGAGAGAATAATAGTTGTGGTTCTGCAAGAGCGGATCTCTGATCGGAGCAAAAGAGATAGACAGGGCGCGGCGGCGCCAGCGTGGGTCGCCGAGCCGCCACAGACCCGATCGAGCGACGCTCATGGACCCCTTGACCGCGCTCTCCAAATCTCCCTTCCGATCACTATCCTCTCATTCCTCCTTCACTCTTCTTCCGCATGAGATAATGGACTAGCTTCTTATCATCTTCTACATAGTCATTGATTTTTCCCTCGAGCAATAGAGAAACATCTACAATTTTTGCCCCCCTTCAAATCAACTCTAATTTAAATCAAAAATTCTCTTTTCAGCCTCCGACTTTTTTCAACCAAGGTGTCACTGACTTAACATTTGTTTTTAACTTATTTCCACCTAAATTCACTTCACCTGATTGCAATTAAGTTGAATATGGTAAAAAATAGTTTAACCCTTAAAGCTTACCCTGGGTGTTACCACCCAGAGTACCCTTTAAGGGTTAAATCCCCCTAACAGTATTTTCAAATTTCCCTTGGTTTCTAAATCTAAAATTAATTTTTTTAAAGGGCCTTGCACGTGTTTACAGTAACATTCCTCACAGGTTGTTGAATGACTCATCGAATAATTTACACCCCATGGCGAGGAAATATTTTCTTTTCCCAAAAAACCCAAAATCGGTATTAAAAAGTTTTGGGACGTACCGAATGACACAACAAAAATTGTTCCTAACCGAATTATTCAACAAAGTTAAACATTGTTTTGTTTTAAAGCCAAAGTAAAATTTTCAGAAATTAAGTGGGGTCCTGATACCTGGGTGCTAGTTCTTAAAGATCTAGAAATTAAGAAGAAAAATTGCACTCACCCCAACAGGTGCTGAAGAAGATGAGATTCCTGGAACAAAAAAGAAAACATTGAGAAACAAGGGAAAACATTAAAATACAAAAGAAAACATTAAGAAACATTAAAATACAAAAGAAAACATAAAGAAAGAAGAGAAAACAATAAACACGAAAGGGAACAACATTAATAAACAAAAAATACCGTCGATTACTCTCGTCTCGCCGATTCGTTGAGTAAAAAAAAAGAATTGCAAACGAATAGTAAAAGTCCAGAGTGTAAACGATACGTTATTGTGTAAAACAGGTATAAATGCTTAGTCACGAGAGCATGCTTTCCACCCACCTGTGCTTTTCTAGCACCTGCTACCTGCGAATCCTCAATTTTCCCCGCCTCTTTAACAGGGATCACCACCACTACTACTTCCACTACTACTTCCACTACTAAAAAAAGGCCAACTTTCATTTAATCCCCAATTCTCTTCTCTAAATAGTTTCTTTCATGCTCACATGCTTGCACATTTCGACCCTCTCTCTCACTCGACAAATATCCATATACAGAAGGCGTGGCGGAACCATATCAGACTTATATTATGCACCTTTTTTCCGGAAAGCCACACGATTATCAGACACCACTATCTGAATCGATTATGACACCCCACAGGAAATAATTGTGCAGGCTTTTAATATGCGCGCCACTTCCTCGGGAGTTAACGGACCAATTGCAGATAAAAACACACCTGTGCTGTTGCGTCGGTTCCTCGCTCGGAATTTCATTTAATTTTTTTATGTTCGAGTTCTCTCTTGAAGCAGAAGTGTCTAGACGTTCAGAAACAGTATCCAAACCATTGCAATTTTCCATTTTTTGGGCCACCTTCGGACTGTTGATCCTAAAATTTACTAAGTAATAAAGTTAGAGGCATACAGATACCGATCACTTTTTAGGATTTAAACCTAAAAAACTGTATTTAATTTTTGACATGAAATTTAAATGCTGACGTCAGAGAATAATAGTGACTTGAATAGTCGAGAGAATAGTGTTCGGAGTGTTAGGAATAACTGACGAATCGGACACAAGCTCGGCACGTGGGTCTCGTACTCCTACGCTTTCGGATTACATGTCGACTGTAAATACCTACGCGTGATACGCATCTGGAGTGACATACGAATTCTCACTTGCAAACGACAATTCCACACACCACGGCGCAAATAATGAAATAATGACAGACACTTAATATTTGTCGTCTAATCTAATCATACATTCGGATGCGTCCCATTATCCACATGGCTAGACTATCCGACAATTACGTAAAAAAAAAAATGCGGACAAAGTCGTCGACATTCTTGACGCGATGATTATATTAGAAAAAATCATCAATTCCGCGCAGTTCAGTTTGAAATCTTTCTGTTCTAAAACTTTTTAAAAAATTAGTCAAAAAGTTAAAGTAAACTCAATTTTGGAACCAGTTGCAATTTAAAGTCTCCTCTGAAACACGTGTTTTGAAAACGTTTCGCGGTTATTAATTAAAAGCGGTAGGATTAAGCACAACAGGACAAATATTAACTCAAGATATCAGTTGAAACCATATGGTAAAAATTTACATCGGAGAGAAAACAAATGCGATAACTGTCGACGAGATTTAAATTTTCCACTAAGATACAGGCAGCATTTAGAAAAAAGCATTTACAAAGTATAGAAATAATTTGTCTGTCAAAAACGAAATATATTCAATTTCTCAAGAGCAATACAACTTTTCGGTCAAAAGATATCGAATCACACAACCATACGGACAACTATATTTACAACTTTACATACAAATATTTATTTGTATTTGCCGGTGGATTTTGAACAGCAGCGCAGTGGGTGTTCGCATTCCACATCTATACATGTGGAAATCAGCGAATTAAACGCGCGAGGATACCAACACTTTCATTCTGTCTAGTACAATGAGCGCGCACATGTACAACCCACGTAAATGCAAAAGTCTAATATCTACGAACTTGTAAGGCATAAATAAAGTGCACTAATGTCGGTACGACGGTACGATATATATTTACACGTAGTACCTGTTTAACTCTTAATAAATATGTGTATATTCCGTCGAGTGGAACTTGAGGACGTTAATGGAGAAAGATAATTTACACGCCGCGCATATAAAGGCTACGTAAAATCGCTAATGAACAATAAACATACTTTTTAGGTTTTTTTCCCCCATTTTCTCTAAATGTCTAAATATTCGTTTCAAGTTTGAATTTCAAGAAGTAGAAATCGAATGCAAAAGTGAACCTTGGATTAAAAAGCGCCGAACTTGAAGTCATCCATATGACCTAAATCATTGTGTCGACGCTAAGCTGTCAAAGAAACTTTTGGAAAAGTTCAACAATCTTTTGCGGAAGGTTTAGAAAACTAATCTTTTGGTGACTTTTAGAGATAAAAATGCTAATAATTGACGCTCAGCGTCGACGCTAACTTCAGAAACACGTGAATGAAAATACTGACATAAGTAAAAAACCATCATTAAAATTTCGATTTAGTTCCACACTTTTACGACCAAAGAAGCTAAATTCAAGAACACAACAAAAATTCCGTAAATCCAGCAATTATTTCATCATTATTCTCTTTTCTCGGCGCAAATAATGAAAAACTTGTTTCATTCGTTACACGAGTGCAAAAATGTTGTTCGCAAAAAGCCGGAACCTTGTAAAATAGTAAACAAATCGCGGAAATGGATGAGATAGGGTAATGAGAGCCGCTGTTGGTTATAAAGGCAAAGGAGGAGAAGAAGAAGAAGAAGGAGCGATTGAGCGCGGGGGGTAGAGTGTATGGCGCTAGCCAGATGTCGTGTCGCGCCGCTCAGCGTCCGAGACGACGCGAGTCGCTGGGTCTTGTGAATCTGTTTTGCGAATATAGTGTGTGTGTGGGTGTTACTGTGAGCGCGTGCGGTAGCAAATCTTTCAATGTGTATTTCAATGTGTTTTTGCGTATGTATCGCGTTTGCGTTTAAGTGGGCGAGAGAGGCGACCAGCTGTGCCGCGCCACGATTCACCGTCGCCGCGCTGTCGCGACTCCCACAGTACACACATAATATATAACAGCGGAATACTTTTCTAGTCTCTCAAACCGATTGATACTCTCCGAGAGTTGGAGAAAAAACAAAATGAAAATCCTCCTCTTAGTGATTACATTTGATAGCAGCAAACTTCAGTTTCCTCTACGCGTTATCACGCGTATTTTTTTGTGTATCACGTCACGAAGATAATTAGCTTATTCTAATTCTATCACTACTATTGTATTCTAGCTATTTTTGTACCTTTTTTGTATTTGTAAGTTTTTGTTTCTACATTCAACAATTTCGGATGGTAATTTTCGTTGTTTATTAGGTCCCAAGTTATCACTAGTGCACCACCCGTAATTCATTCTACTTTATCAATTCGATTGTTTGTCTCCTCGCCCCAAGCATTATTATGCCCATCGTTTATTGTTAGCCACATTATTATGTCCATTGTTTGTTATATTTGCAAATTTACAGTCGCAATTGTTAGTTATAACCACCGTCAATGTTTCTATTAGTCTAATACGTTAATGTTGCAACTATTTATTACACAATGCTCTGCTATTTCAATTGTTCCAAAACTGCTCCAAATGCAGTTGATGGTTTTCATTATCTTCTTTAAAAAAATAGTACTTTTTAGAATTCTTGTAGTTGAACTCTTTAAATCTTCTAATCTTCGAAAACTCTTCGAATTCTCATAGTCGCCGTTTTCTTAAAAGTATCAAATTGATACTAAATTGGATCAAGTTGATGCCAAAAGATTCGGATCCCTTTTTGATTTGATTTTTAGTATATCAATTCTTGACTTGCAAGACGCTTTTGATTTTCACCTTCCGCTGTTTTCAAAATTGGACATTATATTAAATGCGTAAGTGAGTCGCGTTTACGAGCGGATGTGACCGAACGGATTTTCAAATCGCATTCGATTTATTCATTGCGACGTGTATCGTTGCACAAGTTTTGCTTTCTTTCAATTGCAAAATTTACCGTGTGTTTGTCGTTTTTGCATTCGATGCTCGATCATGAGGAATCACATTATAAAATGTTGCGCATTGGGATTTACCATTATCGTATAGGTTCAATGAACCACTATACGATTGACGGACACTAGGAAAATTTTTCCAAAGAATAGAAAAAGAGGAAAAATTTCAAGACGATACAAAGTTCCTCCAGTTAGCGTCGACGCTAAGCTTCTAAATTTGTTTTCTTACGCAGAAGCAAAAGCAAAAATTAACTCAATTCTTGATGGTCGTGAACCTATAGTGTCGACAATCATTGTCGAAAACTATTTTTTTAAACACTTCAGCACTACAAATGGTAATTTTGTTGTTGGTTTTTAAGTCTACATCGCATGAGAATTATTTTCAAAATAAAGATTCATAATAATCGGGATTTTGTGAAAGGAAAATTTACACGTTTTATCAAAGCGGAAGATGATGATGTGCTTATAATCAATCGATCCGTGACGATTTTAATTAACTCGAATGAAATTTTAACAAGTGTGGCGTGATCGGAATAATTTATTATAATCAGGTGAATATCAAATTTTGCAAAGCGCAAAAAAGAAAAAACAAATTTACTATAGCTCCCTTTTGGAACCTTAGTTTAATTGAACTAATTTCTTCTTACCTTTGTTTCAAAATATAGATATTATTTTAGAACTTTTTTTATACCATGATAAGAACAGAATGCCGAATGTTTAGGAAAAAACAACGAATTTTTATCTTGAAAACTGACCTAGAATACATAAATTTTTTTTATTGATACTAGTACCCTAATTGGATTTTTCTCTTTTTGGTTCTGGAAAAAAAGAAACTTCAGAGTTTTGTCACTTTGGTGAATATTTTGGAAAACTTGAATCTAATGAAAATGAGGAAGAAAGAGAGAGAGAGAAAATTATTTTGAAAACGCATCGAATGGATATTCGAAACGCATTTGTTGTTGCGTCAGAAAATATTTTTAAACCTCGATAAATAATGAGGAAATAGTTTTGCGGGGAAAATTTGTTTTGGTTTTTAGAGGATGCAAAACATATGGATGTCTGTGAGAATATTACACACAAACACGTGGTCATTGAGAAATGAGATCAGGGCATCGACAGTTGCGGTGTTCCGTTTGTGAGAGAGACTCGCGCATATATATGTCTAGGCGACATGAGAATTAAATCAGAATTAATGGCTTCGATAACCGAACTGTCGGGTGATCTATGACCTTATGGCTATGGCGTATTAGAGATGAGAAGATGAGAATGCGAGAGAGAAGGATGGAAGAACCTATATCTTAAACGATTCGATAAGCGACTCGAACCGCGGACCTTTAGGCGTTGTACATGACAGGCGGTCGTCTGCTCTTGATAAATCACGAGCCATTCACTTTCTTCTTCTTCTTCTTCTTCTTCATCTTCGCATATATGTGTGCGTATACGTTCGTTTGTTCCTTAAAGTCCAGAATTCTGTTTGGAAATCAGGAATTTTGTGAGGAAGAGAATAAAATTTTGGGTATAATCCTTAACTGTAAAGTTACTTATTTAAAAAAAATCATGTTTTAAAAAAGTAGAAAGTGCGTTATTGTCGTAGGGGTGTTTTTTTTTAATTTGTGATTAGAGGAAGTTTCTGTAGATGTTACGACACATAAAGTGCCGACCTTGCCGTGCAGTCACGCCTTTTGCTCAGCATAATTTCAGTCCTTTCCGAAGATGTGCGTGGAGATTGCAGATAATGACCGGCAATTTGCCGCCTTTTCACGCGATTCGGTCGCACTTCAGTTTCCTTGGCACGACAAACGTTCTCATCTGTCCCTTTCCAATCTTATTATATTATAGAGTTGTTACACATAATTCCTGTATTTTATCCTCCCGGTGAAATCGATTTTTGCCAGGTGCGAATTCAAGCTTATTTCTCGATACCGCTAATAAAATTTTCAACTTTATTGTTACCTCATCATTTCATTTGGTTTTCGAAAAGCTAAATTTTTTAGTTTAACACAATATATTTCGTTTCAAAATATATTTTGACTTTTAGAAAATAGTTTTTGACGCTAACATAGCAGGAACATGGATTTTCAAAATCCGTTAATAAGAAAAAGAAGAAGAAAAAGAGATCAGTAGGTCGCAATACTTGAAATGTTTTCACGGTCTAAAATTATCGCAAGAAAAACGAGGGATGAGAGAGGAAAATAAGTGTGACTATTGGTTATGCGTTTGCACATATGTCGCAAGTTATTCTTGTCCCACTATTTGAACAACTGCCGAATGAGAACGTGGAGCCAAACATTATAGATAGCGAAACAATTTGCAGATCTGTCAATAGACGAATCCACGTGTCTTCAATTTTTTTTCCTCTATTAACATTTCCACTGTTCAAAAACATTTAATAGGAAAATGTTCCCAGAATTATTTTTCAAAATAAAATTCGATGACGTGAATGTTCTCTTCCTTTCAGTTTATTTTTTTCTTGTTTTCTTTTTTTTTTTGTTAGTCAAAGAAGAGGTCGGGTGAAAAGTTCGTATCTTTCGCGTCGGACCATTCCGATGTTTATGAACGCAAAGATCGATCGTATATGCCTGAATGGCGCCTGTCGGCGACCTCGGGGTCCTCGACGGGTGACCACGCATTGACTTGAAAACTTCTACATGCGCTCTCTTTCTCTCTCTCTCTCTCTCTCTCTCACTCTCTCTCTCTCTCTATAGTAGTCGAGCTCTCAATAGCAGACGCTTATCATCCAATTTCACAACAGTGTTTATATATTTGTCTGTGTGCGTGTAGGTGTATGTGTGCTTCTCGACTGTTATGAATATATATTGGAAGCACGGTCCCAAGCGCATATTGTATAAACTTTACTGTTAAAGCTCCACGTGCGCGTTCGCGATTAACGCTCAAGTCAGCAGATGTTCGATAGACGTAATCCCCGGTTTGCTTATCACTCGACGATAACGAGTGCTTCAGCACCAGGTGGCCGAAAAAACACTTATCATTTTTACAATTTTCTAAAAGTATCGTAGATTCCCCCTCCTAACCCCCCGAAAAACCAAGATCCCTAAAGTTATCACTGTCGTTAAGCGTCGAAAAATATTTTTTACGCGAAACGAATTTTAAACATTTTGCAACTTTATAAAGTACGTCTCAGTTCACTTTTGCTTTTGTTCTACTTATTTGTTTAATAAAATAAAAATTATATTTCGAAAAAGAACTAAATTATTAAAGTCCCATTACTTGTTTGTAAAAATTCGATTTGAATTTCGCGCCAAAAGTTCTGTAACCGTCCGTCCAGATGTCGATAAAACTCTCTCACAAGCGGAACTACAACGCTCAGGCCATAACATTTAGTAAGTTACGAAACATTATAATCTGATTCGTTTACTGTTTAATTACATGTTAATTATTAGTCACATTAATTTTGACAAATTTCTTTGAGTACAATAGTAAAACTTAAAAAAATTTGTCAAAATCGAGAAAAAACATAAAATTTACAAAAAAAAACCCAAAAATCCTTTTTTGACGCATGTTTCAAAGACCTAAAAAACGAAAGAGAAAAAAGCACTTTACACACCTTATTTTGCTGATTCACTTTTGTATGCTAATGCACACCTTTTTGGATTCTATAATTTTTTTTTTCTTTCAAAATGATTCATTACACCCGATATTAGCCGTTCTTGAGTAGGATGTAACAATTATTCGAAAAGCAACGTGGGAGACGCGGTGTATTATACAAAAATTATAAATGAACAATGACAAACAAATGCCACAACAGTGTAGGAGCACATGAACAGTTTTTAAAGTGCTTAAACACAATTGTTCCAAATTGTCATTCGATTAAAATTTCTATCATACTTGTCGTAAATTTCAAAAAGGAGGAAATTTGTGATAATTTCAAATGCAATAAAATAATTTTCTTGTTAATTACATATTTCTTTAATTTATTTACTGTATTACTAATTTCAAATATATTATTTCGAATGATTCAATTAAAATTTATTAATTTTCAATTACTAGAAACAAAATGTTCAGAGTATATAAATTACGTCGAAGCAGCACAATAATAAATGTGTGAATTTATGTGAAAATATATGTATAGTGTATGATTAAACATCGCACACTGAGGCGTTATGACACAAGCAGATAGTCCACGTGCGTGACAAGTTGTTTGTAAATTTGAATCCTTAGAAACAAGACGCAACAGGCGCTAAACCGTAAAACGCAATTTACTTTCGTAACCGGAGAATTCACGTAAGCAAAGTGCAATCGGAGTGCAATCATTTCAAGTTTATCACTCTGATAAGAATATTGTTCGGATGAAAAACAATGCACTGCTCGATGTTATTTAGAAGCAGGTTCTCTGCTACCGAGTTCAGTTATATTCATTTTATTCCATCATTTTTATTATTATAAATAATAAAAAAATATTTTTGGAAATCATAAAATTATATAAATAATAATATAACAATTATATTTTATTATAATCTAATAATATTGTTATTATTATTATTATTATTATTTATAATGAACGAGCCAACTAAAAATTAAAAATACCCTTTATTATCATTATTTCTAAATGACCCACTTTTCCAAATGTATTATTATCCACAACTACCACTTTTTATTCCTAAACGAACCAAAGAGGAGAAAACAAATTATAAACTAAAGTCCGAGAGTATTGCAGAGAGCATAAAAGGAGAAAGGAATATATACTTGATTCTCATCTCGAGTGTGATATAAAATACACTGATTAACTGGTTTGTTAGATAGAACCGATCGCCATGAATCATGTTCATTACGGGCTGATTATAATCGAAGTGACATTGAAAAAGGTTTAGACTTCGTTAGTCTCTGTGTATGATGATCGATCGTCAATCTCCTAGGGTGTTGAAGATATATTTCACTATACAAAAGAATACAAAAAAAAAAATTATAAATACCTGTAAGAAAAATGGTCGAAATCACTTTATTTCATGTACTTACAACAAATTAAATTCTAAGAAGAAATTCTCTCTCATAAAACCTTACGCATTACACACGAAATTCAAGATCGACGAAAATGGAATCACACACGGTTCCAGAGATCTAAAATCGTGATGAGTCGTTGGAATTGCAGCTGCAAAGATATTCCAAGAAGGTTTGTTGTCGCATCTTCTTTTCCTTATATAGAAAAGACGAACCAATGCAATGTGCTTCGATTTCATATAGCCAAGATGATTGTTCATCAGAAACGAAATTATTTCCTTTCCTAAAGACTAAATTCCGCCTGTGTAATAATTTTCACGGTTTATTTTTACACTCCCATAAAAAAAACTTCGGCATTAACGATTTAAGGTACATAATGTTAGATGTTAGAATTATTAGCCGATTTATGTGGGGAAAAGATTATGAAAGAAAAAATACATTAAGACAAAAATCGGGGTTTTAATCATTTAGAATAAGAATAAGAGAGAGAAGGGGGTTTACAGATCAGTAAATCCCTATATAATCCAGGCGCGCGAGACATTTAGGAAAAGAAAAAAAAAGTTGAGCAAGCAGATCGAGAACAGCCGTTTCACTGTTCTTTATATGCGGCGGAAGCTGTGAAGACGGACACGTGCGTTCAGAGAGAGAGAGTTTATTCTAACTTTAGTACCGCATTACTGGGAGTCCCGACGCGTTTTCGACCCGCGGAATCCGTGGGCGAAATCAACTATATAACGGGATGTTTTCTATAACGATTTAATGCGTCAGCCGAGCATCTGGCGTGCAGAACTCTCCGATCAATTATAAACACGTCGATTGGAAAACAATTCGATCAGCATTTCCAAATATTAAAACAATGCAAACAGGAATTTCACTTTTCGCCTTGATATTTCATTTTCACCTGATTTCTCGAACATTAACCAAAAATATTTAATCAGTAGTAGAATTTATCACTCGCGGTAAAAGCTTCCTTCTTGTTCCAAAAAGAATGTTAGAAGACATTTTTTCGTGGTTTTCGAATTTCTTTAATTAGGACTAAATGAATTAGCATAAAGCCTACTTTTCTTCAAAATAGATGTACTTAGCTACCTAAGATAGTTTTGCTGAAAGATAATATCCAACTGCAGCCTACAGAACACACTGTAAAGCCTTATGGGTGTCAAACAACCATGTGTGCGGAAAAGAACAGTTTAGGAAGTGTGCTTTAAGTGCTGACTAAAAAGAACAACATTTTTCACCTTTAATTTCCACCTGAAATCCCTTTCGACAATTTTCAAAACACGAAATTTACATTTCCTTGCGGTGGGGAAAAAATATATTTTATCTCGAACGAGAAGATCGCCGCCTTGCTCGCGTCGAACGATAAATAATTGACTGACTTCGATCGATCTTGGACGACAGTAATTTATCGAACCTACAAGTAGGGACCTATATGGTGTTGTTGAGGCATCAGGTTTCTCGATTACAGAACGTTGGCGGTCTTTCTCTCGCTCTCTTTTCATCGGTTCCGATGTTTTTGTCCTTTCCTTTTTAACCTCCCCTCCCATACCCTTCTTTTCGTTTCGCAACTTCTCCGCACGTCCACCTCCTTTATCTTTCCCTAATTCCCTTTCTTCTTCATCTTCTTCTTCTTCTCGCCCAAACGCGGAATCATCTTCGCCAAAGAGATGCCCAGCGACGACCGCCACATGGCGCTGGCGCCAACCTCGTCTCCGATCGTTGCTCCTTTTATTGCCTTCTCTTCTCAAGTCCCTGGAGCATGCAACTCTTGACTTCTATTGAAAGCCTCTTTCGTTATTCGACATGCTCTTGACCTCCCACCACACAATCTTTTCGGAATTCGATAAAAAATTCTTATCCCTTTACTCTGGATTATGCTTTTGATTATTTTACCTAAACAATGTGTAAGGATCTAAATCGTTTTTATTTTTGTAAATATGCCGTTTGGGGTACCCCAATCGATAATTACAATTGTTAGGATTTTTATTATCAGTAATACAAATCTAACTCATGTATCTTCTTTTTTTGTTACAGCCGGAGTCATGGAAGGTTCAGAGCGGGACGCTGGTTTTTGCAGTGGAGCTGACGAGGACGATATGTCAGGCCTGCATTCGCCGAGCGCATCCGAAGACAGTGTCGAGGTTCAAGTGACGCCGATTTCTTTGCGAAACAAAAGAAAATTAGCGGAGCCGAGAAAAATCCTCGAACCCAGTACAGCACCACTGAAAAAGCGACGAAGATTCGAAATTCTCCAAGAGACGGACGAGGAAAGTCGACCTGCAACATCCCCCTCACCCAGTCCCTTCAGGCCCTGGAGTTCATCAACAAAAACCGAAAGCAAAAAATCCGTTAATTCCTGTTTCAATGTCGACAAAGCAAAAGATAGTAGTGACGAGCAAAAGCAAACCGAAGAGGAACAAAAGAAAGAAGAAAGAAAAGAGTTGTACCTCCAGGAAGAGGCACAAAGACGTTACGAAGCCAGAATTCAGGAGGAGGTCCTCCAAAGACTCCACGAGTCAAATCGAAGACCAACCTCACCCTCGGAATGTTCCACTCGTTCATCGGTTTACTCCGGTCAAAGGCGAGAATCCCGTCAGAGGTTTGAACCGCCACTTCCACCGCCGCCACCGCCAATGTCAGCCCATCAAAGGCTTCAAGACGAACCACTCTCTCTGGTTCTTCGAGGCGAAGTTCTCCGAGGTGAAGTTCCCCGAGTGCCCTCCCATCCGGCAGTAAGTGGCGGCTCCTTCGAGAGGCCGACGACCTACCACATGGATCACGTATTACCATCTCAGACGACATCCAACGATCACGCGAGGCATCATCTTCCTAACGGTCAGCAGAGAAATTACAAGAACATGACCCGCGAACGGAGGATAGAGGCGAACGCAAGGGAACGAACGCGGGTGCACACAATCAGCGCCGCGTTCGATACCCTTCGACGTGCGATACCCGCATACTCCCACAATCAAAAACTATCCAAACTCTCGGTTCTCAGGATCGCGTGCAGCTACATCATGACCCTCAGTAAAATAGTCAACACACCCGAGGGCGAACCCGAGAACAATGTCTCCCTCGGTGCTTGCGTCGATCTTGTCTCCAAAACAATACAAACCGAGGGCAAACTAAGAAAAAAGAAAGACGAATAATTCCCATTATTAATCGTATCCAAAAGTTGGACATTCAATTCTCATTTCTCAATCTTCAAGAATCCGAAAGTTTAAACCCGAAAGAAAGTAAACTTATCCAACTAAGATCCAACTAAAAGTTGGGATCTTCAAAAGATTGGTTTTTGGAAACCGAAAAACATAGTCCGAAACCCATCAGAAAGTAAACTTATCCAACCAAGATCCAACTAAGAGTTGGATCTTCAATAATCTTCAAAAGATTGGTTTTTGGAAAAAACCAACTAAATAGTCCAACTAAATAGTCAAATACGTGGGAATTATTATTATAATACGTCATTTTAAAGATCAAATTCTCAAAGCCATTGAGTCTCTTTTACCTGACCTACCTTTACTCCAAGATGCTCAAAGCTGTGCTCGCCAACTTGCCTAAGTGTTAATTTAGATAAAATGTATAAATCAGTGCCAGATATGCTTGACAATATTTAATAAATGATAGCGAATCTAGTTCCCCCTCACACCCCCTCTCTAGTTTCCGATGTAGAACTCAAATCTCTGTCGTTTTTTCGTCTTCTCGTTATACACGACAATAAAAAAAAAAAAACTCAACAATCGTTAGAATATTTAAGTAAATAAAAATTCTTTCCAAAAACAACATATATGTACTCTGTCTTATCCAAAATAATCTTTGTCTTCGAATGATAAAAACTATTTCACTCTCTAAATCTGCTGGCAACAAAAAAGTTTTTTTTGTAGAATAGGGAAAATTTTAACAGGCCTCGGATGGACTTTAAGACACATGAAAAAAAGCCGCTTTAGTCGATTAAAAATACAAAAAAAGGCGAAAAATTCTATTTAATTCAGTGTTGCAACAAAAATTTTATCAATTTAAAGAATTTTTTAGGCCAATTTCCAATTTTAAAAAATTCTTTAAATTAATGTATTTAAAAAACCACAAAAAACATTCATCTAATTAAAAAAGTTTTATCTTTGTAACTGTAATTATTATTCATGTTTTTTTAAAAGTTATTAAGGTATAATATTTTTTAAAAATTATGATAAAGAAACTCTTAAAATTAATTTTTGAAAAATATTTTCAAATAATTTTTCAAATAATTTTTTAAAGATAATAGTCTTTTAATTATATATATATATATATATATATATATATATATATACGGTTGTGGTATTTTTAACAATCTAATTAAAAATCGTAATTAACAAAGAGAAATTATAGGCATTTTTTTCCTAAAGATATTTAATGATTTCTAAAAAAATGTTTCATAAATATATTAATTTTGGAAATTTTTGTATAAAAATTATGCAAATTATTATTTCTTCTTTTTCAAATAATAATTGAATTTTGTTAAAAAATTGTGATAAAAAATAGGAATTTTATAAAAAAAAATTTTTTTCTTTTTTAAAAAGCAACTCATTATTTTGTGAACACAATTGTGATTAAGAAACAGAAAATATGCAAAATTGTTTCTATTTTTTAATCTTAAATTTTTTAACAATTTTTTAACTTTGATCAAAATTATATAATTTTACAAGAAAAATAAATATTAGAAATCATAACTTTTTAGAAAACAATTCAATTTTTTGAAAATAATTCAGGGTGGCCACATGTCAGTAAAGTCAGTAAAGTCAGGGAAATGTCAGGGAAAAAAATATTTTGTCAGTAAAGTCAGGGAAATGTCAGGAAAAATTTTTTTGTCAGGGCAATTAAAGAAATTAAGACGGTCATGCAATACATTTTTTGCTCTAAACAAAAAAATTTTTGTCAGGGAAACTCGTTGTTATGTCAGTAAAATGTCAGGGAAATGTCAGGGAAATTTGTAAAGTCAATCTTGCGGCCACCCTGCAATTGAATTTTGGAAAAATCGTTTAAAATTAATTAAAATTTGACAAAATCTTTTTAAAATAATTGAATTTTGGTAAAATCGTTTTAAAATAATTGAAATTTGACCAAATTTTTCGAAAATAATTGAATTTTGAAAAAGTCGTTTAAAAATAATTGAAATTTGACAAAAATGTTTTTAAAACAATTGATTTTTGGTAAATTCATTTAAAAATAATTAAAATCTTACAAAATTTTTTGAAAATAGTTGAATTTTGGTAAAATCGTTTAAAAATAATTGATATTTAACAAGATTTTTTGAAAATAATTGAATTTTGATAAAATCGTTTAAAAATAATTGAAATTTGACAAAATCTTCTAAAAATAATTGAATTTTGGAAAAATCGTTAAAAAATAATTTAAATTTAAAAAAATCTTCTTAAAATAATTGAATTTTTGAAAAATATAAAATAAATAATCAAATGTTTGAAGAATTTTAATTATAAATATAAACATGATTCTTCCGAAATTTTAATAAGAATCTAAAGAAGTAAGTTTTAAAAAAAATTTAATTTACTTTCTTCGAATATAAGTAAATCCTAAAAAATTATGATAAAACAATTCTAAGAATTGGTTTTTTAAAAATATTCTAATGTAATTTTTCGAAAATAATTGAATTTCTTAAAAGAATTTTTGTATAATTTAAATAATAATACCTGAGAAAAATCAATTATTCTCAATTAAATTTTACAAAATTTCAATTATTCCAAATCTTTTTAATTGTACATTTCGAAAATTTAATTAGAAAAATTATACAAAAATAATTTTTGAAAGATTTGTCTATTTATTTTTCACAGTAGAAAAGTCGAAATAATTTGCAATTTATACTAAAAATGTGGTATTTTGTTGCAATATTTTAAAAAAAAATGGAAAATGTCGCAATTTTTGAAAATAAGTCGAAAAAAGTCGCATTTTTGGAAAATAGTTGAAAAAAAACAAAAAAAAAATCAAAATCCGAGGCCTGTTTCAACCGAAAAAGCCAACACAGTGAACTTCGGTGATAGTTTACCGATCAAATAAAAAATCGGAGAAAAAAAATCGTCAATAAAAATAAAAATTACTAAAAGTTGTACTAATTTTGTCAGTAACTAATTCGATTAGTGCCACTAATCCAGATTTAGAGAGTACGAAAAAAATTCTTAGTCCTTTCCAAAAAAAACTAAAATTTTCAAGAAACTTTAATAGCTTTAAACTCTAAAACATTGTAACTAACATAAAACTTCGTTCTCTTTAAAATTAGTCAAGGTCCTTTTTTCCAAAAAAAGCAAAAAAAAAAAGGAAAGAGAAACTGATTTGTTAGTAACGTCACGAGCGCGTGTGTTTGAAGGAATCGTGCGAGAAATCGTTATACTTCCAACAAATTGGTCGACGACTGAATGCCAAGTACAAACTTGTGGCTTTGATGACTGAAGAGAGCGAGAGAGAGAAAAAGATTGCGTGTGTGTGTGTGTTTATGTCTTGTGTCTATAAGTGTGTGCTTGTGTGTTATAATATACAGAAAGAGGTAGGAAAAAAAAAGTGAGCCGCGAAAATTTTATCGTTGTAATAATTGTTTATATGTAAATAAATAAAAGAAGAAAAAAAATCGCCGTCATAGCCTTTTTATCGTGTTATGAATATAGAAAAATTTGTAATTAATTGTAGTATTTCATAGTTATTCAGATTTAAAAAAAAATTATATTATATATAAATATAAATATATTATATACATTATGTGAACATGTATGTATTTTGCCTGAAAAGGCGGTGTGATGCGTCTGTATGTACCTTTTTATTAAATAAGAAAAACCTCATGATTCAATCAAAAAGTTCGACTTAATAAAGGTGGAATTTACTTGAAATTACTGGACTTGTTTCTTTAAACCCTAACTTCTCACTAAGCACAACGATAATAATAATAAAAATAATAACAATCTTTTTCACTATCTAAAATATTTTTTTTTTTTAATACATTATAATAATCGTAAGTTTCCTTTCTGTTAGCAAATTATCTGCATTCATTTGTTTGTTTTGAAAATTAAATTTTGTTGGTTATTTTTATTTTTTTTAATGTCAAAAAAAAACGAAAAAAAAACTCGTTTTATTCACTTCACAAAATTGACAAAATTTCCATTACATATTTTTTATTTTCCTGACTTTTTCCTAATTTTCATCAAAAATATTTACTTTTTTCTTATCCTGCTAATAAATTGAATTTCTGCTAGGAATTTTATTATTCATCAAAGAATTTAAAATAATTTAATTCTTGCGAAGAATTTTATAAAAATTTTTAAATAATTCATTTCTTTCGAATAATTTTATGCAAATTCTAATTTAATAATTTAAATAATTAAATTGATGAAAATTTTTATTATTCATGAAAAGAATTGAATTTTTACAAACCATTTTTTAAATAATTGAATTCTATTTGGAAATTTTATGAAAATAGTAGATATTGAAAATCATTGAATTGCGAAAAGTTTTTAAAGATAATTAAATTTTACAAAGAATTCTATTAAAAAATTTGCCAATAATTGAATGTCTGTGGGAAATTTTATTAAATTTTTTTAACTTAGAATGTTTTCAGGACCTTAAAAATTTTCAATGTTTTCAGGACAAATTTATTTGATTAAATTTTGTTGAAAATAATTAAATTCCTAAAAAACATTTTATTATTTATGAAAATAATTGAATTCTTGCAAACAATTTACTAGAATTTTTTAAAATAATGGAATTTTCAAGAAGAAATTTATTATTTTTAAAAATAATTGAATTATTGTGATGAATAGTATTGTTCTTTATGAAAATAATTGAATTTTGAAAAAAATTTTATTAAAATACCTCAAAATAATTGAATTTTTGGGAGTAATTTTTTTTATTAATCTTTAATAATTGAATTCTTAGAAAAAATGTTATTAAAATTTTAAAAAATTTAATTATTTCAAAAAAATTTAATTAAAATTGTATTTAAAACAATTAATTTCATTCGAACAATTTTATTAAATTTTTGAAAATAATTATTCAATTCTTCCATAGAATTTAAAAAAAAAAACATTTTTTTAAATAATTTATTTTTGTCGAGGAATTGAAATTAAGTTTTTAAGAATAATTAAATTTATGAGCAATTCAATTGTATTAAAAATAATTGAAATCCTGCGATCAATTTAATTATTTATGAAAATAATTGAATAGTTTTTAATTTGAATAGAATTTTATTATAATTCTCAAAAATAATTGAATTACAGAGAAGAATTTTATTATTTTTGAAAATAATTGAATTATTGCGGAAAAGCTTATTAAAATATTTAAAAAGTATTGAATTTCTGTAAAAAATTTTATTATTTTTGAAAGTAAGTGAATTCTTCATTAGAATTTTATAAACATTGTTTTAAATAATTATTTTTTTCGAAATATAATAAATATTATGAAAATTTTATTATTTAAAATAATTGAATTCTTGGGTGAAAACTTTATTTGTGAAAATAACTGAATTTTTCGATTATTAATTTAAAATAGTAATGAAAATAATTGAAATTCTTCGATGAGTTTTATTATTTATGAAAATAATTAAATTCTTGCTTAGAATGTAATCAAAACTTTTTTTTAAAATTGATTTTTCATGAAAAATTTTATTATTAGTGAAAGTAATTAAATTATTGTGAAAAATAAATTGCATAAAATTTTGTTAAATAATTTATTGAATTTTTCGAAATTTTTTTGAAAATTAGCGAATTTAAAATAGTGGAAATTCTCTAAAAAAAATATAATTTATATTCTTTGTTCAGAAAGTTGAAGATTATTTTTAATTTAGGTATCAAATATCAATTTTTGCGAAATTCAATTTACCTCGTACAAGAAGGTTTAATTATTTTTAATTTTGAAAATCTGATGTAAAATTTGAAATTAGTATCAAAATTTGTTAAATTTTTTTTTCTATACTTTGAAGTTTAAAAATATAATATAATTTGAAAATTTAATTCTAATAAGTTTTTCAGTTATGTGTCATAATAAGTATTTCTTTAAA